CAACCTGAGCTAGACTAAGCAAGGCAGAGAAATAAACAATTGCAAAAGCAGATTTGGGGGTCCAGTTTTCATTTGGCCAATTAAAAGAAGGAACAGAACAGCAGAAACCTAAAGGGGTTAAAGGTTCAGGCGAAAAAGCCTCCGCAGCGCGGCTGTTTTCAAAAGGTACAGGGGAGCACTGAGAAAAGGCTCCATTGGCAGGAGAAGGAAGGGAATTGAAGCTGGCCTTACCTTGGCCAACAGCACTCTCCAAATTGCGCAGGGCTGGATTCAAATATTTCCAACTCACCAGCATTAGGATTACCCATTTCCCATTGCTGGGAACTAACATTAATATAAATAGAGGAAAAAGAGGGGCAAGAATATCCTGGCATCATTTTTAACCACAGCCGTACTTCCCTGGGGTGGAGGTGAGAACGGGGTTCTTCCCGCTCTGGTCAGCAGCACAGAGGAAAGGATGGAACCAGCGCCTCTGAACCTCCGCTTATTGGCTCAACTGGATGAAGCAAAGTTGAAAGAAAAAAATCAAAGGAATTCCAAGGACAGGAGGCAAAGTAACTTCACTGACAAGGAAACCCACACCTGGATTATGAATATTCAGGAAATACCAGCAATTTCTCCTGCTGTTGAATGTACAAAACAGGCAATATATTTGGCTAATTATTTTTTATGGAACTGTGCTTTGGTCACAAAAAATACTGCTGTGGAACCTTGTCATTTGACTGAGAATCTGGGGAGAAAGGAGAGGAGAGGGAGCGTAAGGATCCACAATCTCATTACTTCGTTAGATGAGAAGCCACTGCATGTACAGGACAAATAAATCTCAGCCCCCATTTTTTATTGTGCACTATTTCTTCCTATAAGGAGTAAATTGAAAGCTGCTCACAAGCCAACTGAATCTGAGTAGTGGCAACATACACAGAGCCTCACATAACCTGCAGGAATTAAATGTAGGGAGAATACATTAAGGAGAGGGAAATAATCTACGAATGAATCTACCCTTATAAGCATTTATACATTACAAGATCAAAGCTCCTTAAACCCGCCCCTTTCATGCCTGTAACCCCATAATGTCTACTACAGCATATGTTCTCATTATCTTTGGAGTGGAAGTCAGAAGGAGAGAAAATATAGGGGAAAATACCAGTAAGAGCTCTAAGCTTGACTCATAGGATGCTGTAAAATGGTCACTCAGTGTTACGCTTTGTTCCTCTGCTAGACCCTTAAGGGCTCCATTCACTCGCCAGTCACGGCGCTTAAGGCTGCAGCCTAAATGAATTTAACCAGCAGATGTTATGGGCAAAAGGAGAGCCAGAAAGACCTCCAGTTTTACACTTGTACAAATTGCCCCGTAAGAGGGGAGATGAACCTCACCAATCTCAGATGAGAGTTATGAAATAAGTCAAATAAATAAATAAGCAAACTTCTGCATGTATAATGAACAAATTAAGCATTTAAAATGCCTTCTCTTGAAGTCTTTAGCTTTTGCTCGTACAATGCCATATTAATTATAACATCAATGCTGCCCAAATCAATCACTTTGAAGGTGCAGGATTTAAGGCCAAATGCTTACCCATTCCTGATGTAACGAAGGGGTGCAATAACATGCATTTTGATTGAAACATGACTACTTAAGCCCCTAGTTTGCACAACAAGTCCCTCAGAAGGAAAAGCTCGCATGGAGATTCCATTTTATCACCACACGAGAAATAACCCTGTTCCCAATTTTCTGTATTGTGGCAAAATACATGAGTACGTGGCATGACCCAAATTCAAAGTGTTAACTTTTTTTCAGATTGATTTCCTTAAACCTAAAATCTATTTGCACTTTATACAGATATTTCACACCAGAACCATGGCTGCCAACCTGTTGTTAGAGAACTCCTACTGGACACATCGTAACTAGAATTTCTGTTCTAGTTATAATGCCATCTGCTAACAAACAGCTGTAGCCCAGTTGCAGTGAAAGCAAAGAAGTTTTGCTATAAATCACAGATATGGATATGCTGCACACCAAAGGCAACCGAACACACCAGCAGGATCTGCCGTTCCATTCCAACAAAAGGCAAAGGGGCCCCTTGCAAGAACCACATCATAAATAACTTTGGATCACCATACTGTAACATTTCAACAGGACCTACAGTCATAAACGTAAAGAGTCCATCCAGGTCCATTGACGTCAATGGGGAAGTTTCCATTAGATTCCATAGAGAACTGGATTAGGCCCAAGATAAATGCTAAGAAGGGAAAGGCTACTCAAAGCACTTACAAGATATCTTTTTTATTATCACAAATGGGAAGCCTAAAATATTTTTTTTATGTACTAGCCTATCAAATTTCTAAGTGTCTGGTTCCTACTGCTGTAAGAATATTTTATATAAGCGGATTGTGAATCTGAGAATGGGAAATATTCGAGCATTATATCACACGGGCAATTTTAGTACTTTAGGCATTCAAAACTTTTTTTTTCACAAAAAGAAGCACCGATAGCTGTTTTATTTTAGCTCAGATTCTACCATTTTTTATGCTACAGAAATGAAGCTTTCCTTACAAAGTATTAGCAGGACTGACTAGACATACATGTTAACTGACCAGCAGTTGCCATAATATATATTAACCAGAAATTTAGGTTATGTTGCAAATGCTGGTGACTAATTTCCAGGCACCACACGTTGCTGAAGATACTTTCAGTAGAATTTTGCTTGCATTGAACAAATGTGCTTTGCAATTCTTAGCAACACTTTGCCGTAACTGCAGAGAGTAGCCCCAACTAGGAAAGAGAGAGTTAGATCAAGAGGACTTCGAAGTAAAGCAGGAACCACAAGATGGGGCTGAGGCTGCCTTTTCCTCCTCAGGTCCAAGAAGCAGTTAAGGGGGCCCGAAGAAAATGGTGGACACTCTAAATGTTGAAATTGAGAAGAATCTGAAGCAAGCGCGCCATGTACACACTAACGCACACCAACGGGCTGCTAGTTTTGCCTGTACATTCAACTGCCTGCTATCATGGAAATTGTTTTTTTTTCAAAGGCATTTTGCCTAAATGGAAGACCAAGTTGATCAGTGGGACCTGGGATGTCCACTCTCTACAGGAGCAGCACCAGCTTAGCTAGATTTTGGTGAAATCGCTGAATAAATATTAGCCATTACCACAACTATATCATTATGCAATTTGAAGGCACCGCTATACACTGCAGTTTTTTCTTCAGGATTGGAATCAATTTGGATTTTAATTTATTTTTCTTCTTTTTCCCTTTTGTCTTCAGGTATTTGTGTGTGTGTGTGTGTGTGCGTGTGCGTGTGTGTGTGTGGTGTCTGCTCACTCTCAGCTTCTGAATCTGAAAGATGATCAAATTAAAGAATAAGGATACTTACATGCTATAGCTAACACGGCACCACTTTAAGTAGCTTTAAATAACAATCCGAATGATTCACAGTTACCAGGAATAAATGAAACTAACAGGATTTCTTCTAATTCTAATAATAATTCTAATAATCCCATTGGGATGATTCTGCCCATTGTATTTTGCCAACTCTGTTCCTAGAGCCTCAAGTCAACTGGCTTAATGGACCAGAATATGAATCCAACCAAGTTTATTCAAAACAAAGTAAACTAAATATATCTTATATTGCTGGAACACTGAAACAAAAATTGAGATACCTAAACAAGTTGTGCAAATGGACAAATCAAATGTTAGCTAAGAATGTTTCATTCTTTTTATTGTTAGTAATAATTAATAGTATAAAATTAAGCCCTTGTGAAAGCTGCACTACCTGAACAAAGCAACCTGGGAAAGTTGGGCTTATGGAGAGCCATCCATGGATTCTGGGAAGGGACCTATCCTGGCTTCCATGTTAACACAGGGCCGTGCCAAGGAGAATCATACCACAGGTGGTTGATTAAACTTTTGCCTACAATAACCAAAATCATGTTGTAGGCTTAGTTAAAAGCAGGATCTTTTAAAAGGTACCTATGGAAAATACAACCTACTGTGAGTCACTTTTGCCAAAAAGAAAGTAATTTGTGATTAAACTAAATGACAAAAAAATATTGAGAGAAGACTAAAATTAATGTCTATAAGCTTCTTAAAATTAAGATACTCTAGCTAATAAACTGTAGGTCTGAGTTATCTCACTGAAGTAACTGATGTTTTCTTGGGTCCCGCAAACGTATATGACTAGTTTTTTTAATAACATAAACCTATGTAATTTATCTATGTGAAGTAAATCCTATTTAATCCAGTAGAATACTCTCCTTTTAAAGGAGAAAATATATCAATGATTTATTTTGTCAGGAAAAAGTGGTTTGCATTTGTTTTACCCAACATGCTTTTTAAAACCGTGTACATATATAGAGTTTATGCTTCCTTAATTCAAGCTATAAAATGTACATTATGCACACAGATTTAAATCGTTTAACATATGCTGTGGGCTACTGCAAAAACTTCCATAACCACTAAATAAAAGATTAAAAAGAAGAAGTTCCCTAAGAGCCTCTAGTCTGGCTCATCCTCAGGGCCTGTAATCCGTTCTCTAGAAAAAGGGACCGATCCACCGGACTGGGAATGGCTGCAGCTTCGTTTCCCAAGCGGCGCTGCCTGACTGCCTTCGTCTGGCGCTGCAGTTCCCCGCTGCTTCTGGGGAAGAGAAGCCCAGGCCCCTCAGGGAAGCCCAGGGGAAGGGGCTCCTCGTCCAGGAGAGCAGAGGGGCAGGTGGACCTTCAGCATGACTCCTGCCCACCCGCCGAAACCCGTCCGCCGCCCGCTCTAAGCGCCCCTCGGAGACCCACCTGAGGGGAAGCCGAGGCGGGACAAGGCGCTTCCCCGGACGGGGCGGCATTTTTCTCCACCAGGGAAAGCGCAACGCCAAGCGCTGCAATGGCGGGGTGTGTCCTCCTTCCTCTGGAGCGCAAAGCCTGCGGACGGGGCCCCGGGCCGCGCTGAGAGGCTTCCCGGGCAGGCGATCCCCGGGCGCTCTTTCCCTCCGCGCGTCGGTCTCCTTACCTCACGTCTCCGTAGGCGCCCGCGTAGCCCTCCATCCAAGGCCCGAGCTCCGTCTTGATGCAGCCGGGCGCCGGAGCGAAGGGCATCCTGCCCATCACGCCTCCGGGGTACCACACCTCGGAAGGCAGGTCGGCTCCTTCCTGGCCGCTCGGCCCTTGGCCCCTGCCGTAGCCGAAGGGAGTCTGGGCGGCGGCCTCGGTCGAGGCGCACGGGCCGTAGACTTGCGCGTCCTCCGCGAAGAAGGGGTGCCAGGCCGGGCCCGGAGAGGCGGCGTAGTGGGGCGCCAAGGCGGGCATTTCCCCGGCGCGCCGATATTGCGCGCCCCAGATGCCGCCCGCCGCGTACTCCAGCGGGCTCTCCAGCTTGATGCGGCCATGCGAGGCGAGCGCTAGCTGGAAGTTGTAGTAGTCGCGGCTCTGGAAGACGCCCGCCGGCGGTTCGTCCAGCTCCGGCGAGCTCTTGAAGAGGCTGAGGTGGCCCGGCACGTCCATGGCCAGCGCGCCCTCGCCGCCGCCTTCCTGCTCGGCTTCGACGATCTTGCAGCCGCCCACGGCCACGGGCCGAGCTTGCGCGCCCGGCAGCGCGAACATGCAGTCACCGCGGCTCGTTGACGCTTCGCCGCCGCCGCCGCCGCCGGGCCCTTCGAGCACTTCCACCGCCAGGCCCATGGAGGCCGAGACGGCTTTGCACAGCTCCTTGGCGCTCTCGCCCAAGTAGTCTTCCTTGGGCGCGCTGGCTTCGCCGCCGTCCGCCGCCCCGCCGCTGCGCGGCTCCCCTTCCGTCGCCGGCAGGAGGCTGCTGCTCTCGGCTAAGATGTCTTTCAGGTCACCGGAGCAGCCCTGGAACGAGGGAACCAGCAAGGCCAGCGACGAAGAGGCGGCCGAGGTGGAGGAGGAGGCGGCCGCCGGGTGGGGCTCGCGATCGGCCGGCTGAAGCCCTTTGCTGCCTGCCGCAGGCTCATCCAGCGGCAGGTAAGAAGGGGAGCCGGGCTGCTGCTGCCGCCGCGGGCTGGGCTCCTGCAGACGGCCGCCCGGCGCACACGGGGCAGCCGAAGGAGAGCCCGCGCTTTGGCCGCTGGCCACGACCTCCTGTCGCGCTCCGCTGGGCCCGGGACTCTGGAAAGCCTCGCGGACGCTCTGGAAAAGGCTCTGGAAAGCCCCGCGGAAAGTTTTTCCCGGCGGCCGGCCGTAGACCCTGCCCAGCCCGACGTGGACCTCCATGGCCCGTTGGGGGTGAGTGCGCGGGGCGAACCGGCGCGGCTTCCTCACTAGCAAGGGCGGCTTCTTCGCCCCTCGCGGAGAGTCCTCGGCGGAGCGTCCACGGGCACCTTTATCAAAAGAGGCGGCGGCGGCCGATCATCCCGTCCAGGGCGAAGAGCCGTCGGAGCGGGCGGGAGGGGCCCGGGTCCGCGCAGGTGCCGCGCCAAGAGAGGGGCCTAGCCGCTTTCGGGACACCGATCCGGAAGTCGGGGTTGGCCTGCTGAAGCGCCCCAGCGCGCGGCCTACGAGAGCGGCGGCTGCCAAAGGGGAGAGGCCGCCACGCTGCCTCCGCCGGGCCTGTCGCGACGATTAACTTTGTCGGCGGAAAAAGCGCGCAGGCCGGCCGGCTTCGGGGCTGCTCCGGCTGCCGAGCGGTGCTTCTCTTGCGGGCGGGCGCCGGCCGAGCGAGCCGAAAGTTGAGCGCGACCGGCGGGCAGACAGGCGCACGAAGAGGCGAGCGGCTCGGCGTCCTCCCAGCTTCCCTCCCCCAGACGAGAGCGGAGTGAAGCGGCTCCGGCGCGCGTACCGGCAGCTTTGGGGGCGGCGGGGCCGGGCCGTCCCTTTTGCCCCCGCCTGCGCCGGGAGCCAGAGGTCGCGCTCCGGCCGGCCGGGGAGGAGCGGAGCCGAGCGGGGCGCTCGCAGCCCAATCAGCTGGGCCGAGCGGAGCCGAGCAACAAGTGGGCGACGCGCATGAGCCAGACGGGCAGGCCCTCGGCGGCCGCTGACGGGGAGGGGACGACTGCACCTTTTTCGCCCGCCCTCCCGAAAGCTGGCAGCGTCCCGCGCTTAGCCCCGCCGCTCGCCTGCTCCGCTCGGCGCCGCTTCCCGCTTCGGACGCTGGGCGTGAGGGAGGCAAGTGGGCCGGGCGCGAACGCTGCCGGCCTTGCCTGGGTAGCTGGCGGCGCCGGGCTGGCTCGGGCTTTATGTAGTAGCTCTCCGGCGGCCCAGCGCCGCTACTCTGCATTCGCACGCTCAGCTCCACGTGCCAAGGCAGAGCCCGCGGAAGCTGCCCACGAGGTAGCGCCGCCAAGAGCGGGCCGGCCGCGACGCTGCCCCGCTAGGGGCCGAGCCCGACGTGAGGGGGAAAGCGGAGCCCGCGGACCGCCGCCAAGCCCGCGCAGGGAGGAGGCTTCGCCATCCCGCTGCGGCCGCTCAGCAGTCCCCGGCGTCGCTCTGCCTCAGCCGGGCGCGGGAACCGGCCCTTCCCGCCTCTGCTTCTCAGGCAGCCTTTCCGGCTCCTTGGAGACTTTTTGCTTTGGAAAAGCGGGCGGCGGGCGCTGCCTGTGCCGCAGGGCCCCCGGTGCCGCAGGCGGCCTTCCTTCCTCGTCGGGCGGCGGCGGCGGCACCTCTGGAGCGCTCCGTCTGCCGTGGAGCTCCTGCCCAAGAGAAGCGCCGAGGCCCCCGGGTGGGTGGAAGGCCGTGGGCAGAAATGGGCACCCCGCGCCTCAGGCCCTGAAATTTCTTTGAAGCAAAGTTTCACAAAAAGCCCAGAATAATATTTTGAATGGGACTGTTTTATTCTGAGTTCAATTCATGTACTTCTGTACCATGCAAAGCCCCCTCCTCTCTCTCACACCCGCACAGGGTCAGCTGAGGGAGTCGGGCCAGTGGGGTTCCCCTTCCCTTCTAAACAGGCACACCTGTCTAGTTTTCCCACCTCCTGATGAAGCCTCCCTTCTCCCGAGATACTTGGCCTACCCAGAGCTTTATCATTTGGGATTGATAAGCACCGTCTGCACCTGTTGCATTTATATTTCTTTGTGGCGCTTCCTTTTGTGCTGTATTCAGCTCACACAAATTGAGGTCTGCAACCTTGAATTGGTTTGAATTATTGAACTAATGTAATGATAAATAGTGTAAATGCAGAATTCTATTTTAATCAGGGAAGCTAAGTTTATATGAAATTGGTCTTTGATAACGCTTTGGTTTCGGCATGCAGAATGAAAATCGTTGATTTTCTTTCTACCCCAAAATAGTCATGTTTATTAGACTCTGCATTCTTACTTTAATGCTGGATTTAAATTGATATTGTGGATATTTTTTGCCATTTTTTCTATAAAAGTAGAAAATATGCATTAACAAACAATGCAAGCTCGCAAAACCACTCTTTATGATCAAAGTGAAAAGAAATATTTTTTCCTCTTTGTATAAATGTAGTCAGCTAATATTTGTATTCAAGCAACCTGCCCTAGCTATAACATTCTAGGCGGTGTAATTCCAATTTATTGAGGGCAGAAGGCCCGGGAAGGCTGGATTAGAAGCCGGTCTTAACCACAAGGGGAGAAAACTAGAAATTTTGCAGCTGGTGAAAGATGATATAGAAAAAGGCTGATGTAAGAAAGAGAAGAGATTCAGGCCTGGGCCAGATTGAGGTTCTTTAGTTCTGGGCTTGAAGGTCTGAAGAGAGTTCACCATTTCTGGTCCTAAAGAACCTGTGCAAGTAAGATGTAAATTTCCAAAGTCTTCATTGCCTAAATTCACAGCATATTGTACAAAAGGGGGAAGAAGGGGTGTTGATAAATCTGTAAGTAAAGAATGGATATGGTATGAATGAATGTGCTGGTGACTGAAAGATGCTCACCGTCACTGCAGTCTGTTCCAGTGGGCAATAAAATGAAAACGGATCTAAGCCAAAATGCAGTTTTTAAAAGGCTGGGAAAAACTCTCCTTACTCCTTAAATAAGTGTCTCAAGCGTGCAGACCCGGGGAGAGGCTGCACCCCTGAATAGACTGTGAGTAGATCCACACAGCTGTTTGCTCTACTCCACAGGCTGCCTTAAAAGTTGCTGCCCCTGCAGTGTGGCTGGAATGTACAGGAGGCAAAGTGATGGAATTGACCTAACTCTTGGCCTGCTTTCCATACAACATGCACACGACATTCTAAGGGACTGAAGTTGGCTGAAATTCAAGCTCTGTCCGCCATACTCCCAAGGTGTGAGATCTTCTCCAGTTGGTCTGCACAATGTTCTGGTTATCCCATGTACAGCAATTGGCCCAATCATTGTTTCGCTGTCACGCTAAACTTTTTATTGATTTCCTCAAGCTGTAGTCATTTATTTAACTGTGACTTAGCAACCAGTAGAGGGAAGAGTGTTTGTATCTGTTGGCTGCCATCTACTGATTATCCCCATTTGTGCAGCTTCTGCTTGAAGGCTGTTAAAGAGCTGAAGTTTCAAAAAAGGGGCTAGTTGTGGGCATCGTTGTGGGAACTATACGCTAAGAACATTGTATGAAGAAAAGAAATGAGTAATCAGGACTTCTGTGGCCATTGGGAAAGGAATTTGCTTCCAGAAGTAGAGAATTGTAGACATTCCTACAATTGCACTTCGGTTACAGGCTTTGAGCCAGGAATACTGTACGCTAGTCTGTCTTAAGGCTTCTCCTTATCAGTCACCCCATTAAAAGGAATAAGGCAGCGAGAGGGAGCAGGCGCAGTGGCTTTGAAGCAGGTTCTGACCTCCCTTAGAACCAAACATGATTGAGGCATGGCAGAAGAAATCTGGGTAGAAGTGGCATGCACAGGAAACAGGCAGAAACAGACTTCTGGAAGTGTCTTTGGAGATCCTCAGCCATCATCCAGGTCATGGTTGTCCCAAAGGTGCTTTTCCAAGAGGCAAACTGGACGTCCTGGTTTTTCTACGAAGACATTTCGCTTCTCAGCAAAGAAGTGAAACAAAGAAAAACCAAGTCCAGTTGCCTCTTGGAAAAGCACCTTTGGGACAGACTTCTGGAGAAGAAATGGCGGGGACCGAAGATGTCTTTGTGAGTAGCAGGGCTGGCAACTGCAGCCGAAGGCAGAGCCCACGAATAGAACAACTCTTTGTAACTCCTCTCAGGATAAGCCACGGGGCTTGAGGTCGCTCCCAATCGCCCCAGACAGTTGCACCTCATGAGTCTGCAAGGCAGCTGCCTGCGGTGGGCTCAAAGCTCTGGGAGACAAGGAAGTAGCCATTCTGGTGAAATTGCGGGTTGGCAGAGTTCATGCACGTCCTTTTCTAAATCATGGTCAGAAATGGCTTTTTCACTGCTTTTTAGCTATTAAGCCACCTTTGGATTGACAGATTTTAAAAACTGAATTTCCTTTAAGGACTACATACACAGACAACATGCACACAACACGGGGGAGGGAGAGGAATGGACCACATTCCCCTTCCTTTCCATGGGAAAATACTTTTGGTTTGAAGCATGATTAGATTTTTAAGACTTAAGAGGGAACTAAGAAATACAATTAAAGGAAAAGAACACTCAGTTTACCATTACAACATAAAGCAAAATAACATTTGAATATGGTAAAGCATATTTTTCAACAATAAAATCAGAAGTTACATTTTAAAAGTTCTGCTATATGGTAGATAGTTTGTATCGAAACTTGTTTATGGAAGCAAATTCTATCTAGAAGAGTAAAACTGAGTAAAAATGGATTTGTACAAGAATGACTGAGAAAAAGATGCTAAACTAGATATACAAGAGAAACCTGATGTTTTAATGATTAAATGAGATATACAAAAATAATTTAAGAGATAAGAGTTTTGCTAAAGTTTTGAAAAATTTTGAAGGAACAAAGAAGAAATGAAAAAAAAAACCAACTTTTATGACATTATTTGAAGGTACTAAAGATCACAATTGTAAGAAGTAAAAGGAAGAAATATAAAGTTGGTTTATCTAATCAAGGTTAAGATAGATAACTCTTAATTGACCTTTGCTGACATCAGGAGTGAAATCATGACGCTTTATGGATTTGTTTTAAATAAGAGATGGCTTAGGGGAAGTTGAGAACATTTGTACTTTAAGAGAAGGTGATAAATTATTAAAATTGTTTATATTTGTTGCAAGGATTATGAGAAGTTATTTCTCTTTACAATATTTTTATTTTTTCTTTACTATTTATTTCTAGTTTTCCTTTTTTCTCCATATTCTATTCATTTTATTCTTTTTTTTCAGTTGATGTTACTTTTTATTGGTGCGATTTTAATTTTTTAAATAAAATTACTACCAAATGCACCCACACCCCCAAGTTGAGCCAGAGGATTGCGGATAAGAAGCACCCCCTTCAGGCGATCTCCCCTGGGGAGGCCTCAGGACACCCTATGTTGTCTACAGGCCGCACCATTTGTGAGACAGGACAAGTGGGGAAGCCTCACTTCCATAATGGAGCCTTTAAAGCCAGCCTAGTCGCAGAGGGTGAGGAGATACAGCGGACCGTGGGAGGATGTGTCCTCCAGAAGCCCAGGTTTTTGCGGGGGCAAGCCAGTGGCAGGGATTTGCCTCTCGAGTCCTGGCTGTGTAATGCACTTCAGATTTTGGGAAAAATAAACAGGGGCATTCAGAGAGAACGATCAAATCACCATCTCGGGGAATGTGGGCAAAATGTTACCTAGATCTTTTGCCCCTAAGCCTTGTGGACCTTGAAAGACCCCAACCAGGTTTTTGTCTTGGGCTTGAGGCTTACAGGGAGGCAGAGGTGGCCTTTGGGCTCTTTGGCAACTGAGGAGCAGCGGTCTGGATGC